TCTGAAAACTACATTCAATATCATTCAATTACTATTTTGACATCAAATCATCAACCAACCTTGGGTGTTTCTAAAAAGATTCGCTGGCGAATCTTTATGTGTCGGATTTCTGGGCTCTCAGCGGCTGCAACGACATGACCTGCTTCACGATGACTTGATGTATGGCGACCAATGGCGACCAATGATATCTGCTTGGTGGTGACTTAACCATTAGTAAATATACCATTAGTATTCCATTAACCATTATATAATTAATTATTCCATATTAGTAATTATACCTGGTGGTGACTTAACCATGGGAATCCCAACATTATGGCTATGTAAATCCTTATTAAGTTTCCCATTAAAAATAAGGTGATTTAGAGGATATAGATCACTGCTTGGTGGTGCAATTTCACTATCGTGAAAAATGATGGACTTCGTCAATGGGTTCCGGATGACAACTTTTTTTTTATGAAATGGAAAAAAACATGTTTGAAACCACCAACCAGGTAACATGATATACACCAAGTGTCATATATTACATATACACATTGGAGTTAGATGCGGGCATAAACCAACTTATACTTAGATTTTCCAACCAGCAATAGTCACGTGAGTCGTCACGTGGTGGGATGCCCAACAGGTTTCGCAAAAAATCCTGGATGAAAACCGGTTGTTTCACATCATCAAACCCACGGATCTGATCCAGAAAAGGGTATTAAAACAGTAGTAATAAAAATATTGTGGTATATCCCATGGGATCCATGTATGCGATATATGATGACATTTTCCATCAATATACCCCAAATGTTAGCATATATACCATACATGGATCCTACGGGTATTGTCACTTGGGTTTCACTTGGCTTATCCTCCAAGATCATGAATCGTGTTTGGTTTCAAACGTGCCCTTCTGAATATTTCCTGACTCAGCTATGAAAGAGCTGAAGGGATGAACGTGAGGGGTGTTCACCGACAAAACGAAGATCAAATGATCCAAACTTATCGGCTGCCCATAGACACATGAGACTGAGACACTCAATTTCTTGATTAATCTGTCTACTGAGAACTGATTGTCTTCGTCTTAGCCAAAACCAAAACTTGCCTCCATATCCTTGGCTGCTCCCGACAAACCCATGCACCGGAGGCGGCTTGCAACACTGATAAGGGTGATCATGCTAAGAGTTTCCCTATCATGTAGTAGAATTCGATAGTTAATCAGTTAATGAGTCTAGACTCTAAACCTATTTTTTACATATGTTTACCTATTTTTTACGCTATCTTTTGCTGAACTTCGAAACTTGGATATTGTGCTTGGGTTGGCCACTAGCAACCTTGGTCTCACCCCAAAACATCTCCGGCAACCGGTGGCCCACCGATCCGAGGCCGTTCGTCTCGACTCGGTCTCTTTTTGGGGCAAAACGCGACGACGAAACGTGCCCCGATTGGGGCTGTTTTGACCAACTAAATTTGGTGAGACAGGCGGGACAGGTGGTGTCACAACAGATGCTGCAGATTTCAAGCGAAACTCACAACTGTTTCGGCCTGTTTGGAAATCTTTCATATAGAGAGAGAGAGAACATCATTAATTTAAACACGATCAAAAAAAGGATTCCCGATTTCCATGAAACAAGCTCGGATGAAACATCTCCATCGTTCGCAAAAACATTGCAGTACATCATCTGACAACCCTGGATTGATAAACCCTGGTGATGGCTTCACCTAGAGTGGCTCTTTGGGGTACGCCAAACCCATGCATAGAGGAGCATATGGGACTTCCACTAGGCCCTTGAGTTTTAACATGTTTCAACCGTGGATCTTCTGAAGCCCCAAAATCTGTCCCATAGCTAAGATAAAAAAACATCACCACCCAGTCCCAAGTCACAACTTTCGCGGATAATTAATGTACACGTTTCCAGAGAAGCCTGCGGCTTGGCACCTCTGGTTCTTTGATAGAACTGCGTCCTGTTCGACAGGCAGCGTGGCAAAATTCGACTCATTATGATGAAGTTTCAAGGAAAACCTTAGGAAACGCAAAACCTGCAGTTATAGTCCTTAACAATTATAAATGGATTACATTACAATGAATATAATATATATATATGCATATAACCTTAGTTATATGAATTATAACCCCATTTATAGCTGTTAAGGGCATAGGTGCCCTTTCACACAGGTTAAAATTTAAAATTATTTAGGATACGACACGCCTCCATATTTTCCTCCATTTCTGGCCCCAACTCTCGCACTATCCACAAATGTCGACATGGATCAAACCTAAGGGCACTTATCCACAACAAAAACACGATCATCTTCACCAATCATACGGCTACTTGGTGGTTTCAACCATGGACATTAGTTGAAAGAATGTCCCTGAAAAGAATTGAAGAGTGTTTCCAGAATGGTACTAGATGATAATAATTTTAGATTTCCAGGTTTTCAACTGTTCTATTCTATCATAGAATCATAGTTCTATCTATTATTATGTATTGTCATAACACCCCAGCTATGAATGAAACTGTGCTTGCGGTATCCAACAACTTGTCCCATGCCCGTCCTACAGTGGCATTTTTTTTACCTGCTGGTACTTCAATGATTTTGACCACCAAACATGATCATGTTTGATGATTCAGTACTGGGTGGTTTCCCCCACTTTGTGCAATTCACTAACCCACTGCCGGGGTGAACTAACCCACTTCCTAAGCTGTGTGAGCCGCCAAATATGGTCGGGCTTACCCAAATATCCAGACAGCAGCCAGAAACTTGGTTCACGGTATGGCTTCCGTTCTGTCTTTTTGATTTTGGTGATGAAGTCCCAATCTGTTGTTGACAATTCCCCTGGTAGAAATATACCGCAAGATCCAGTCCTGATTCCTGATGTAAGGCCAATTTTCACTCTCCGAGGTTTTACCAATTGGACCCAGCCTTATTTCACCAGCAGCTGCCCACAACGGCCGTTTCACCGCCGTCCGGCTTGCTTCGCCAGCGCCGGAAATCCGACAGTGTGTGATCCCACGAGAGGGGGCCATTCCGGGAACCCAAGTCGGAGGTACCTACCATATATAAGGCCTATGTAAGGGCTATGTAAGGGGATATACCACCAAAATATGACCTTATATGGTACAATAGCTTCATTTTAGGATCTTGGAGATCTCCCATTGAAATACTAAACTGAGGTTTTGTTGAGGGTGGTATCATGAAAATATTTCAGGGAAGGGATCATGTTTTTTTTAATGCTTCAACTGTAACCAGCCCCTGGCAAAGGAAAAACATTGCTGTTCCAAGTAAACCATCTGTCATGGGCCATTTTCAATAGCTATGTTAAAAACAAACTACCCTCCGGTCAACGTTGACATAACGAACTGGAAAGATTTACAATTTCTTTTATGGGAAGGTCCACTATTTCGACTTTTCGACTGGGCCATTTTCAATAGCTTTTCGTATGTTTACCAGGCCGGGTAAAGGGATCAAAAGCAGGATCATCCCAGGAATCCATGCTGACCCTGGCGCTTGGTGGTTGAGCCCTACCCCTCTGAAAAATGATGGAGTGAGTTCGTCAGTTGGGATGATTATTCCATTCCATTCCCAATATGGTGGGAACGTCATAATCCAGCCATGCTCCAAACCACCAATCAGTTATATATAATTATAATATATATATATATATTTATTTATTTATTCCATTACCAGAGGGTTAATCACCATTAAATCACCATTAAGACTCCTTACCACCATTGGTTTCCATACGCGTTATGTTCAAACCAGACGGCTTTTCGCCATGAAGTTCGTTCGCGCCGCCTGGGGGATGATCTCTACGAGAAAAACCCCCATCGAAACAACACCCCCAGGGCCTATGGTCCCAATGATGTGGTTAAATATACGTGGAAATCTCCGAAAAACCCATGATGACATGGTTTCTGGGGTGTTTCAGATATAGGGCGAGAAACAAACTAGGAATTATAATGGTATATAGTGGTATCCATAGATTTTGTGATACATCTACCCTTCGCTAATCTGTGGCTTGCAGGAAAAATCTAGTTAGATCTTCTCAGCTATAAACCTCCATCCGGGAAACAAGTTGATTTTTTGGATGGAAATTTTGTAGCATCATACTGTATCTCACCAAATTCATGGTGCTCATGGTGCTCGTGTCATAGTGTAATGCCTTCTTCTTCTTCTTCTTCTTTCCTGGCCTTGCACTGTTTCACTGGCAACTCATCGTGCATGGCATGTTTAAACTCCATGATTCTTCATGCGACTGTCCGGTGCTTGGACGTGGTGAATTTCAGTTCAAAAGGACAATTCATCCAATTCATCCCATCGTCTGAAGTACCCTCTGGTGATTTACAAATGAAAAATGGTGATGTTCAATAGTTATGTTCAATTACCAGAGGGTAATGATATCGCTTAAATGTACGGCAAAATTCAAGAACCCTAACCCCGAAAATCGAAGACTTCGCCATGATAACGGGAGACTTCCCTGCTGGTTGGCTCCCCATCGGCGAATGGCTGGATACTCGTAGCTCCAAAAAAAATCAGATCACTGGCTAGATTCAAGTCATTTATGGCAATGAACATCATTGAACTGGACCAATTTTGGGATATGTTGGGTATGATTCCCCATATGTTACCCATTATGTGGGCCAAGTTTCCGTCCAACAAAAAAAACACATGGCACACCTTGGGGGACTTCCGTCCGCCGAAGCTACGCGCTACGCTTGTCGCGTCTGCGAAAGACCAAGCGGGAAGATGCTGTGAGTTGCAACTTCCACAAGCAAGAAACTTTGAACAAGTTTAAATGTGGTGAATATACATCATAATTGATATAAATTGATCATTGATATAATATGTATAAACCTGTTCATTGATGTAAATTGAACGTAGCAGTACATATACACAATATATAATTGCATCTACGAAAATCAAACAGATGATATACCCTCTGGTAAACTAACATAGCTATTGAACATGGCCATAGAAATAGTGGATTTTCCCGTTAAAAATTGTGATGTTCCATGGCTTCGTCCATATCTTCCCCTTGGAGCGGCTTCCGCGCTTCCGCGGACGATCAGGACGGCGCCACCTGGAGATGCAGCAGCACACTGATGTCATCCGATGCGAAGAATCGTGGTCAATCGTAGGTGATTAATAATGGTCAATCGTTGGTTAAGAATGGATGACAATAATTGATAAATCCTCTCAACTACTATCCCCAGACCCTAGGAAACTTCATTGTAGACCCTGGATCTAGGGTCTAAAGTGGGGTCTGGAATGATAAATACCTAGGTGATTCCAGAAACATAACGGAACCATGCTAGACCTTACCTAGGGGTCCGGGAACTTGCACATAACACAGCTATGATACTGGAAGGCTCAGAGAGGTAACTTCACTTTAGACCCCTGGGCCCGGCATCTCCGGCAGTAAGCCTAACATCAAAGCTTGAAGTACCTTCCCTCAGGAGCATATCTCCTATATTCTCTTATTTAAGGGTTATATTGTGGTTATTTCGAGACTATATTGATTTAGTATTAGTCTATTTGTTTTACATGCAGATGGAATTCAAATTAACAATTTTTGGGTTATACAATAAACATGAATAAATATTTGTCACACTCTGGTGCCTTAAGATTTCCTAACATAGGGGGTAAGTTTAAAAAACCTGATTTTTCTCGACTCGAGTAAAACCAACTTACCCCAGAGTTATCCTGAACTGTGTCTACCCACAACTTTGAATAAACCAATCCCAAATATCCAAATCTTGCCATTCGACCATTCCACCGAGGGCAGTTTGAAAAAGCTCTGATTAACACGACGCATCCTGACAGCTTCCATTGCAAAATGCTCGCCTTGCATTTTTTCCGCCAGATAGAATTATTTCCACCTTCGAGGTATTTTGGGGTTGGATGTGTAATTATGTGATGTGACCCAATATGTTTTTCTTATCTTTTCCTCATCTTCATGGGTCTGAAATGGTTTACCACATCCTGAAACCAGAAATATTCACCACAAATGCTATGGGAACATCATTTCAGACCCATCAAGATGGACCATTCCCAACTATACAGAAGAGAAACCATCACCATCAACATATCAGAAAGAATGTCAGAAGATATGCCAGATAGAATGTCAGAAGATATGCCAGATAGAATACCAGAAGATATGCCAGATAGAATGTCAGAAGATATGCCAGATAGAATGTCAGATAGAATGCTAGAAGATTTGGCAGATAGAATACCAGATAGAATGTCAGAAGATATGCCAGATAAATTATCTTTTCCTCATCTTCATGGGTCTGAAATGGTTTACCACATTCTGAAACCAGAAACATTCACCACAAATGCTATGGGAACATCATTTCAGACCCATCAAGATGGACCATTCCCAACTACACAGAAGAGAAACCATCACCATCAACAAAGATATCAATGATATGTGTTAATACCAATGGGTATTTGATTTGGAATCATTCCAACCTTCCAGGTATTTTGGGGTTGGATGTGTAATTATGTGATGTGACCCAATATGTTTTTCTTATCTTTTCCTCATCTTCATGGGTCTGAAAAGGTTTACCACATCCTGAAACCAGAAATATTCACCACAAATGCTATGGGAACATCATTTCAGACCCATCAAGATGGACCATTCCCAACTATACAGAAGAGAAACCATCACCATCAACAAAGATATCAATGATATGTGTTAATACCAATGGGTATTTGATTTGGAATCATTCCAACCTTCCAGGTATTTTGGGGTTGGATGTGTAATTATGTGATGTGACCCAATATGTTTTTCTTATCTTTTCCTCATCTTCATGGGTCTGAAATGGTTTACCACATCCTGAAACCAGAAATATTCACCACAAATGCTATGGGAACATCATTTCAGACCCATCAAGATGGACCATTCCCAACTATACAGAAGAGAAACCATCACCATCAACATATCAGAAAGAATGTCAGAAGATATGCCAGATAGAATGTCAGAAGATATGCCAGATAGAAAACCAGAAGATATGCCAGATAGAATGTCAGAAGATATGCCAGATAAATTATCTTTTCCTCATCTTCATGGGTCTGAAATGGTTTACCACATCCTGAAACCAGAAATATTCACCACAAATGCTATGGGAACATCATTTCAGACCCATCAAAATGGATCATTCCCAACTACACAGAAGAGAAACCATCACCATCAACAAAGATATCAATGATATGTGTTGATACCAATGAGTACTTGATTTGGAATCATTTCCCAATATGTTATTATGCGATTCGCAAGCATTCATCAAATATGTTATTCGTTTATTTGTGTAATTATGCACCATTATGAACCATTACAATCCATTACATAAAAAATAACATCGCCATTTTACCATCATCTTGTGACAACAAGATTGCGCCTTATGTCTCCACTGGTTGTGGTTGATTGATGTTGGTTGTGGTTGCTTGGTATGCGTTTGGCAACCTTTATTAAGGTTCCAAGGATGCAAAGGGTCTAAGATGAAGTTCCCTATGCAAAAGCCAAAAGGTCTAGAATGGATTTCCCTCATGATAGTAAGGGTCTAACATGGTAGGAGGCAAAAGGTCTACAATGATTTTCAGACCATCTTAGACCTTCCATCTTGGGAGCCCTAGGCAAACCATCTTAGACCCTCTAGTAGTTGAGGGGATATTGATAATACATCATAGTACACAATATCATTAATAATAATTCTGATAAAATGATTCCTATATGGATTGATGGTTACCACCCCGTTGATTTTTCAAACCTTGGGGATGGTTTACTGCTGACATCTGACATCCCATCCCGCCCCTAAAATGAACCGCAAACCATGGTGCAGGATGCAGGATTGACACGTATTGATTCTGGGTAAATTATAATAATTCACTAACCAGAATAGTTCGAGACACGTATCAAAAAAAAATATAAATGCATCAAAAAAAATATCCAGCACGCATCAAAAAAAAATAAAAATGCATCAAAAAAAAATATCCAGATGCCACTGTGTGAGACCTCCTGAGTCTCGTGCTGCAAACCTAGATCAAAAAAAAATATCCGTATCAAAAAAAAAATATAGTAGTAGCAGCAGCAGCAGCAGTAGTAGTAGTAGTAGTAATAGTAGTAGTAGTAGTAGCAGCAGTAGCAGTAGCAGTAGCAGTGGCAGTAGCAGTAGCAGTAGCAGTAGCAGCAGCAGCAGCAGTAGTAGTAGTAGTAGTTGTAGTAGCAGTAGTAGTAGTAGTAGCAGTAGTAGTAGTAATAGTAGTAGTAGTAATAATAGTAGTAGTAGTAGCAGCAGTAGCAGTAGCACTAGCAGTAGCAGTGGCAGTAGCAGTAGCAGTAGTAGCAGCAGCAGCAATAGTGGTTGTAATGGTCGTAGTAGTAGTGGTAGTAGTGGTACTAGTAGTGGTACTAGTAGTAGTGGTAGTAGTGGTGGTAGTAGTAGTGGTAGTAGTAGTGGTAGTAGTAGTGGTAGTAGTGGTAGTAGTAGTAGTAGTTGTTGTAGTAGTAGTAGTAGATGTGGTTGTCGTCGTAAGAATAACAATAGTCGCAGGGGTAGCAGTAGCAGTAGCAGTAGTAGTAGCAGTAGCAGTAGCAGTAGTAGTAGCAGCAGCAGTAGTTAGTAGTAGTAATAGTAGTAGTAGAAGTAGTAGCAATAGTAATAGTAATTAATAGTAATAGTAATAGCAATAGTAATAGAGATAGTAGTAGTCGTCGTCGCAGTAGTAGTAGTCGTCAAAAAGGAAATGCTAATAAAAAAAAAGCGGGTGGGGGGCGCAGGGGGGAGGGCGCAGCGCCTCCCCCCGCAATGCGTACCAAGAAAGAAGCACATAGGCACATGTCTCGATGGATATCAATAAAGTTGAAATGAGCCCAAGGAAAGGATGATGCTTATGAAAAAGCAAAAGAATAGTAGGTACAGATGGGAGCCAGTTAAAAAAATAAAAGCGGGTGGGGGGGTGCAGGGGGGAGGACGCAGCGCCCGCCCCCGCAATGCGTACCAAGAAAGAAGCACATAGGCACATGTCTCGATGGACATCAATAAAGTTGAAATGAGCCCAAGGAAAGGATGATGCTTATGAAAAAACAAAGAAATAGTAAGTATATAGCAAGGGGAGCCGGTTAAAAAAGTAAAAGCGGGTGCGGGGAGCAGGGGATTTTTTGGTATGTTTTGGAAACACATCTATGTGGTTCTAACTTGCATCTCAGCTCAATATTTCTGCAACGGGTTCCGAACGAGGCCAAAAACGATGCCAAAACGAGGCCAGAAAATAGCTTTGGAAACCCCTTAACTCTAGCAGCTCAGCAGGAAAGGGGAACGAGAAAGGGGGGGGGGAAAAGAGAGGAAAGGAAGGAACCATCCACACCCACCTCCCCCACCCCGGCACCCATCCACCCGCGCAAGTGACCGCACCAACATCGAGGCGGCACCACCCCCTGAGACGCGAACCGTGACACCGGAACACGAAAGTGGAAGAGGGACGGAAACGCGCAAAGGAAGGAAGTAAAAGAAGGAGAGGAAAGAGGACAGAAGGGACAAGGGAAGAAGGGGAATGAAGAAGGAAGGGAAGGAAGGAAGGCAGGAAAGAAGGGATAGCCACTCCCCCGGCAAGGTAAGGAAGGAAAGGGAAGGAAAGAAGGAAAGCAAGGAAGGCAGAAAGAAGGAAAGAAGAAAGAAGGAAAGAAGGACAGGAAAGAAGAAGGAAAGAACGGAAGAACAGAGAAGAAAGAAAGACACGAAGGAAGGAAGGAGCGATGAAGGAAGGCGAAGGAGGGAAGGAAGGAATGGAAGGACCAAGAAGGGGAAAGAAGGAAACAAAGAAGGAAAGAAGAAGCCAAACACAGAACCGTTGACTCCCCTAGAATGACAACGTAAAGCAAGAAATCCCCCCCCCTTTTCCCCTCCCCAATCTTCTGCCCCCTTCCTCCCCCCCCCCCCTTCCCCTTTCCCCCCACTACCCCACTCCTTACCAACTTCACTTACCTCCTATATCTCCATAACCCTACCACGTCGTTCCGTCCTTCCCATAATTCCTCTCACACTTACGTTTACAGCACTGTATGGCACATTTCATTTGCTTTTTCGGCACCCCGACCATTTATATTTTTTTTGATGCATTTTTATTTTTTTTGATGCATTTTTATTTTTTTTTTGATGCGTCTCCCCAGTAGTTCGGCCACTTGGGGATGATTTCCCGAATCCTAACCATGATTCCCAGGGTTCAGTCACGACGTGAGGTCGTGATGAAATTTACCCAGATTGATGTATTGGGATGTATTGGGACCATTTAGGGCAAATTTAGGGGTTGTTGAATATTAGCGGGGTGGGATTATTTTCATATACCTTCCGGTAATGAAACATAGCAAGATGTTCCATTGCCACGTTTGATTACCGGAGGTACTTTTCCGTGTGATTGCCACGTGTGATACTTCTAACTGGAGGACCCCGAATCAGTCTTCAAACATGTTCAAACCCTTCGTCATTCCATGACTGGGTTTCACAGGGATCCCCAGCTTGTGGATGGTGAAAATTCCACTTCAAATCATATCCTCTGGATTGTCTGAGAGGATGCAAGGCACGCTGCCGCGAGGGGATCTAAACCACTGGAATGGTGATTCCTCCATGTGAAGCTTGAACAAAAACTAGCCTCCAAGGTTTACTCTGCCATGATGTGGTTCCAAAAATCGAGAGTTTTCAATTTTTGAATTCATCCTCCAAAAGATTCCAAAAGTCTGCCTAGCCGCTGGTCCCAATCCCGACGAGCGACTGGCTTGCGAACTCGCTAGACACTTTGTTGGTAACCACAGTCATCCACAGTCAGCTGTTTCAGCATGTTTCGGCTAGTATGAGAGGTGATGTCATGTTTCAGTTGCATACAGTTGCCATGTTCCAAGTTCCAGGTTGCTTTCGCGCAACTTCCAGTACTGTGGCACATATGGGAGTAAACATAATTTAATTTGGCCCAAAGAGAAACATGTGAGCACAGTCCACTATATCTTGGGTTTACAACACTGCTAACCCTTCAAGATATCCAGAACTGACATAGTGTTTGGGAGTTGAGTGGAAATGGTAGAGGCTGACTTTGAGTACTGAACCAACCGACCAACTCAACAACTCTGCCTAGTGGGGATCACCCGGCCTTAAATCTGGCTGTGTTTCTGTTTGTCAAGGATATTATTAACCAGATTTTTCCCCGTGGACAAAGCCATTCTTGTCTGGGCAAATGATAATAATTGACTAACCTGATGGTTTGTAATGGAAAATTCATGGTTTATTTCATGGAAAATCCAATTAAAATGAATGATTTGGGGGTACCATCCCATTTATGGAAACCCGCATATATGGTTGAACAAAGAAAAAAAAACATGCCATTGACCTCACCCCAACATTCAGAACCAGTCAGTTCAACCTGCGGCACCTTGTCATGATGACTTCTGAGCTTCGACCTTGAACACAGAAAAACAATGGTTTTTTTTCGCATGACTTTAAGGGAATATTTGCAGGAAAGCCCTCTGTTTGGGGAAAGCATGGTGTAGATTTTCCCTTCAACCAATCTAGTGATTTTTGCATGTCTTTTTATCTGTCAAAAATCAGTAAATATTTCTCAGGTACGCTCCAGCAATCAAACATGCCGGTAAATCCTCATTATAAAGCTGCATGTTCCCATTAAAGCCTCCATTTCTAGGAGATTTTCCCAGCCATGATGACACCGAAGAGTAGGTTTTCCAGCTGGGAAACTCCACACAGTAAATAGCTGCAGCTTGCGCAAATTCCAGAAGGGCTGGGATACATGATATAGTACTATACACTTTATTTCAAATGTATCCCATTCATATACAGTAAACATAATTATATATATATACAGTACTATACTATATTTATATGCATGATATAGTAATATACAATAGTTCAAATGTAATTAATATATATATATATATATATCGTTGGCCACGAAATAGCTAGATAGATAGATAGGTAGATAGATAGATAGATATAGAAAGAGATAGATAGATATAGAAAGAGATAGATAGATACATAGATAGATAGATAGATAGATAGACAGATAGGTAGATAGACAGATAGATAGATAGATATAGAAAGAGATAGATAGATAGATAGATAGATAGATAGATAGATAGATAGATAGATAGATAGATAGATAGATATAGATAGATATAGATAGATATAGATAGATATAGATAGATATAGATAGATACAGATAGATATAGATAGATATAGATAGATATAGATAGATATAGATAGATATAGATAGATACAGATAGATATAGATAGATATAGATAGATATAGATAGACATAGATAGATATAGATAGATATAGATAGATATAGATAGATATAGATAGATATAGATAGATATAGATAGATATAGATAGATATAGATAGATATAGATAGATATAGATAGATATAGATAGGTGTAGATAGATATAGATAGATATAGATAGATATAGATAGATATAGATAGATATAGATAGATATAGATAGATATAGATAGATAGATAGATAGATATAGATAGATAGATAGATATAGATAGATATAGATAGATATAGATAGATATAGATAGATATAGATATATATAGATAAATAGATAGATAGATAGATAGATAGAAAAATAGATATATAGATAGATAGATAGAAGGGTGGATAAAAGATAGATAGATATAAAAATAGATAGATAGAACAATAGATAGATCGATAAATAATTAGATAGAAAGATAGCTAGATAGATAGATAGATTAGATAGATAGATTAGATACAGTAGGTTAGATAGATCGATTAGATAGATAGATAGATAGATAGATAGATAGCTAGCTAGATAGATAGATAGATAGATATAGATAGATAGATAGATAGATAAGACAGAAAGAAAGAAAGAAAGAGAGAAAAAAAGAAAGAAAGATAGATAGATAGATAGACAGACAGATAGATAGATAGATAGATAGATAGATTAGATAGATAGATGGATAAGATAAGATAATATAATATAAGATAAAATTAGATTAGATTAGATTAGATAGACAGACAAACAAATAGATAGATATAGAGATAGAGATAGAGATATAGATATATCCGTGTACCACGGCTATACATGAAATCATACAAAAAATATCTGGTCGAGAAATTTGAGCATGGTCAAATAGAGATAACCCTAAAATTGGATGGTTAATACTAAATCCCTTCGACCTTCAATTTTGACAAAATCCCATTTTGAACGGAAAAAAAAAGGTACACCAAGCACCAACAGTTAGCCCTTACCAATTAGAATTGACTTTGCTACAGTTATCATGGGAACATATTGATATATATATATATACACTATACCCTTAGTATCCCTTAGTTGCAAGAGTTGTTTCATCCCATTAACTGTGAAGGGCACTGCAACCATCAACCACCAACAGGCACCAGGCACACCGGTCACACCGGGGCTCAGGCTGGACGTTCCGGCGCAGGTTGCGAAGGTGCAGCTGGAAAGTGCACTGCGGGACGAGTGCAGGCGCCGTGTGCGCGGAGAAACCGCATGGGTTTTCCATATCTGTTGGGTTTATGGTAGATATAACTGTAGCTATCTATGGTATGATCCATATAAATGGATATGTTAAATGATTTTTTGGATGCATCAATTAATAATCAAACATGTTTGTCGTTAATAGGTTCATTTACCTTTGCTTTAACCATCAACAACAAGAGCCAACAAGGGAAAATGAGGATTTAACCCGCAGAAAAGAATATTGAAATATTGGAACTTATTACCTTCCAGTAATCAAACATGGCTGGGAAATCCCCGAACTAACTGGAGGCTTTGATGAGAAAATCATCTTAACTAAATGTGGATTTGTCCAACAAGCCATGTTTTATTCCCGGAGAGTATTGTATGTTATAACCTGGAATATTCCATGTATGAGTGGCGTATAATATGCCTAGCACCCACCTCCTATTTGGGATGTGGTGCCTCGTACTGCACTTAACTAAGTCAGTTTATAACTAGGTTAACTAATAGGTTTATGGAAGATATAAGTTATAAAATTTTAAAAATTATATAATTTATAATTTATTATATATATATACCATAAATATATATATATATATAGATATCGAACTAGTTAGAAGGGTGTAGAAATTACGTCCGTGACCTGAGTCAAGCAGTCAAGCACGCCTTTGTCAAATTCTCGGGTTGATGACACCGAGAGGATGATCCCACGGATATTCCCACGGATTTGCTGACATTTTCTCAGCCTACTACTGCTGGTTGGTGGTTACCAGGTTGACCTACCCCTCTGAAAAATATGGTTAATATACTGTGAATAATGGTTAATATATGGTTATTATATGGTTATTATATGGTTATTATATGGTTGATAATGGTTAATAATGACTGCTTGGTGGTTGAGCCCTACCCCTCTGAAAAATGATGGAGTCAGTTGGGATGATTATTCCATTCCCAATATGATGGGAAAACTAATCCAGCCATGTTCCAAACCACCAACCAAACTAACATTTACTCACCTCTTAAGAGGAACTCAGGAACCCGGATGGCCCGGATCCATCAAGTTACCAGAGAATCTGAGGGTTTTTTTGGTCAAGAAATCACTGAGGAATTCCCAGCAGAAGTTCATCCAATCTAAAACAAAGTTTTTTCTAGTGGATCGATGACCATCCCCCCAAAAAAACCATGGCACACACGATCTTCCCATATCTATGTTAATTTACTGAATGGTATACTAGCCGGTTGAATGCTAATATACACCGACAAACAGTGGATAGTGCAGGTTAATTGGGACAACTACCCAACAAAAAAAACGATCCTTGTGCTGCCCGGCACAATTAAAATCGGAGAAAACATTCTACCCTCCGGTATTCTAATATGGCGGGGAATCCCCCTATAAATTGAAGTTGATAGCTAGGAAAATGCATATATGAATTGGATTAAGTTCGGGGATTTTTCAAGGAAGCTCCACCAATGACTTCGATGTGTGAAGAATAAACGGCTCGCTTAAGCCTACCAGCTGCCATCATGTTCCCGTTGCTTGTACGATGGTGGTTACTCCTGTCAACCACCAGTAGGAAAAGAAAACCTTAATGGATTTTATCAGGAAATCATTGGCTTTGATCAAGAATCAGGAGCCATTGGTACATACACTGTATGACATACACACTTTAATATTCTTTAATGCTTTTGTTGAGGATTAAAAATTACAAGACCCACCCTTTCAGGCCTAGAATATCTCAAACCCGTCTGAAAAGAACACAAAAACAACTGGCAGGAGAGTAGCCAAATAAAACTAATCACTGCACCTTTTGATCCTCACCCTCCAACAGAGTGATGCCGGCGCTGGTACCTCTGGGGCCAGAGGTGCTAGTTCCTGATGAGAATCTATTCTTCTTGTCTCCAGAGTAGTATTCCTCCTCGGCGCAGGCCAGGGTGGCGCTGGAAGCGGCTCGACAGCACCAGGGGATAGCAGGGGTCTCCCAAATCATCCATGGGATGGTCAGAAAAAACCATTGGCGCCGGGAAAGTCTGCCGGATGGGTGAAAGGAGGCCCAACTCGATAAGTCACCCGAAAAGGAACTGATTCAGTCTGATTCAGCTTCCAACGTTTCTAGAAAGAAAGCGTTTGAGAGAACAAGGTTTTAGATTTTGTTCCAGATGGATGTTTACTGTTCTATGTCAGTTCTTCAGGCAGCAATAGTTGGTACATCCCAAATTCAAGGCTTTCCGTGACTTGCTCGGGACTCAGCCTGAGATCAAAAGGGCGCTTCCCCAGTGATGTAACCAACTTCAAAACACACCAGTCATGATCCGGTTTCGGAAAGGGATGGAAGCAATGAATTACACCAGAGAGAAAGTCAGATCGGGAAAAAATACGTGTGGTTTCAATGGTCAATTCCCAACTAATATGATTGGTTCTCCCCTCATCTGGGCCCATGTGTTCAACCAGCACCTAGGTTTTGGAGATTTTGTTGGTTTCTATTTAGCTCACTTTGGTTCACTTTGGGCATTCTAGCATTCGTCTGTAACAAATATAGATTCCCAAACGTCTGGATAAATCAAAAGAAGTCTCTATCCTAAAATGTTTGGCCATGTTGAGATAGTTGCCAACTATCACATCGTGATGCGGTCTTGGCAATTTATCCAGAAACATGGGATATGGCCCAGCTGTGCTCCAAGGTTAGACTCATGATTGAAATCTAACCTTGGCAAATTCATCGAACATTCTATGAACCCAGGATTTCTCCAAGAAAATCATCATCAAATGAGGAATTTCAGGATTTGTTTGTTGATTCTCTATATCAGTTTCGAGGTATTTGGAGGGTACGAATGTGGTAAACCCATCAATCAAAAACCATCCCCAAGTCATCACCAAAAATGGATGGGTGTGATTTCAACCATGACCCCAGTCATGGCAGGGTGTTTATGGCAGCCAGGGTTGCCAAGACTAGATTAGTCTATATATACTATTCTATTCATGGTGAATCTTAGATACCTGTCAAACAATCTTTTTTTTTGCTGGTGGATGTACTAATTGTAGCACTGAATTTGAAAAAGGTTAAGTCGTACTAGTTCGTATCTAACCAATCGGTTGACGATTAACCCACTATTATATGTATCCCGTTACTATCCCATTATATTCCCGTTATTATATCTGGTTGGTGGTTGACCTACCCCTCTGAAAAATATGAAAGTCAATGGGAGGGATGACAACCCATATATGATGGAAAATAAAAGCCATGTTTGAAACCACCAACCAGATATTACTTCCATATATATATATATATATACCATCCGGTATTTTAACATAGCCATGGAAAATCACCATTTTTAATAGGTAACCCATCTGTAAATGGGCCATTTTCCATGGCCATGTTAAATAACCAGAGGGTATATGATCCTCCCAAGGTTATCCCAGAAAAAAGTGGGCCCGACAGGGAACAAACATATGTCAACATCTCATCGTCGTCGAGGTGCTGCAATGTGCCGGACGGTATCCTTCATCAATTGGTACATCTCCTCCTTTTCGGCTTCCTTGCGAGGAGTCTTGCGCCAAAGCCAAACGCGATGTGGCCGGAAAAAAAAAACATAGTGGCCGGAAAAAAAAAAAAAAAATAGTGGTGAGGTGGTGAGGTGGATTTAACATGATGTTGAATTGGGACTTCACCAGCAAGAATAGCAAGAATTAGCATTTTGAAGGGTGTGGGGGGATATGCATTTAACATATTTTAAAATTGTATAAAATATGAATATCACGAAGATAAGGGGAAACAAATGGAGATTTAACATGATATCAAGGTAAAATTGATGAGGTACAGCAACATGGGATACAATGGGACATATAGCCACAAACATTTACAACGTCAACCCTGGATTCTATATAAACATGACTAAACCCTGGTTGATTAGAATTGAACAGCCCAAAGATTTATTCATCCGGGGACATTAGATATTACACTTGCTCTATACATAGACATCTCTATATGTATTTAGATGTACCCTGATTACCAACCAATTACTAATCAAACATAGCCCGCTGGAAATTCACCTATTTTGCATATCTAGTTCGATGATGTTCCCAGCTATAAACATATTGAAACACCATTGATCTAGGAGTTTCAAACCACCTTTGAGGACACCGTACCTGAAGGCCACCTAGCAGACCCAGCACAGGTCCCCAAGGTTTCTGGAAGCAGGTTTCTGGAGGACCATCTAACCTGCAAGTAAAATCCTGAGGATTCAACCATTTGTTTAACAAACTAGCAACAAGAATAGCAAAAATCATAGCGATAACTGTTCCAAACAAAGTGAAGATTTTCAATCCAGAAGACACCACCTACAACAGAATTGCTGGAATTTCCGTACAACCGCAATGATCGGACTCCGATTCCCATAAGCCCCTTCATACTACTCCTATGTTTGAAACCCCTCCATCCATGGCTTCCCTCCCCGCGAGGTCCCTCGAGACATTTCGCTGGAATTTCCTGTAGCTTCGGCAGAGGATGCTCACAGGCATACAAAGGAGAGCCCCTAGGTACCCCCTAGATACTATACAAATAAACGTATAGACCATATATTAGTACAAGACGCGTTTCTTCACCTATACGGTCCATTTCTTCGATTCATTCGGTATGACAGTATGACACCAAACAAATCATGCGACGGTAGGTATATATTTATCTATATGCGTGTGTGAATTGATCTGTCAACAAGCTATGTATCCGAACTCATCATCATCATCAACAAACGCACGTTTGAAATACCGCAAGGTGCGAATAAAAATTGTATATTCTATACAACGCAATGAAATTTGCAAACGGATACCTTGTATTCCTGGCCCCAAGGGCCTCGCTTGGCTGTGGTGACTCCCCCTTAAAAAAGGGGCGCCCGATCCCTTGGACAAAATCTGAAGATCAACATGTTCACTAGTTACCCTCTGGTAAACATACAAAAAATTATTGAACATGGCCATAGAAATAGTGGATTTACCCATTAAAAGTTGTGATTTTCCATAGCAATTTGTATGTTTACCAGAGGGTAGCTTTGATATTTAATCCAGCCATGCGTACTGAAGTTCCATCCAACTCTGGCAACCAGATGTGGCAATGGAACATTTCCCAGCTATCAACCTCCATTACCATTTTGGGGATGTGCAATTGCCATGTTTGATTCTCGAAGGGTATCAGCATCCTTCCCGCCAAGATACTGTTTAATCCGTTTTCATCCAGATGTATACTAATATACCAACATCAATCATATGCAGGGTTGTCTGAGAATAGATCACCCAAAAATCCAACCATTTGGGATCATTTGGGGGTATACCACCATTTCAGATATATATATATATATATATACACATATATTATATATATATGTATTCTATACATTTCGATGGTTGTATCCCCAAACAATTCCCTAAATATATCTGTGACATCCCCATGAAACCACTATTCACTGGCAAGCCCCCTATTTTTTGCCAGCGACAGCACCAAGTTTGTTGCTTCAACCACCATTTTTACACCGCTTGGCTGTTTCGATCAGGATTAACTACCCATGTTTGCGGAGCTATTAACCATCTTTCCCCAATTCTGTTAGTTAAATGATGCTGAACCCCCAAAACAAACATCATCATACCATAAAATCCACAATGTCATTGGTGAAACTTGGAGTTTCTCCGGATTAACTCATAATTTTGTGTGGCTAAAAAAATACTTTACTTCGAGTCATCCCCACCATGACATTTATAAGTTTTGTTGCTGACAAATCTTCTGGCATTCTATCTGACATATCTTCTGGCATTCGGTCTGGCATTCTATCTGGCATACCTTCTGGCATTCTACCTGGCATACCTTCTGGCATATGTTCTGGCATATCTTCTGGCATTCTATCTGGCATTCTATCTGGCATATCTTCTGGCATATCTTCTGACATCCTATCTGGCATTCCTTCTGGTATTCTATCTGGCATATCTTCTGGCATTCTACCTGGCATATGTTCTGGCGCTCTATCTGGCATATCTTATGGCATATCTTCTGGCATTCTATCTGGCATTCTATCTGGCAAATCTACTGGCATTCTACCTGGGATATCTTCTGGCAGATGTTCTGGCATTCTATCTGGCAAACATTCTGGCACTTTATCTGGCATACCTTCTGGCATTCTATCTGACATTCTATCTGGCATTCCTTCTGGTATTCTATCTGGCATATCTTCTGGCATTTTATCTGGCATATCTTCTGGCATTCTATCTGGCAAATCTGCTGGCATTCTACCTGTTATATGTTCTGGCATATCTTCTGGCACTCTATCTGGCATATCTTATGGCATATCTTCTATCATTCTATCTGGCATTCTATCTGGCAAATCTGCTGGCATTCTACCTGGGATATCCTCTGGCAGATGTTCTGGCATACCTTCTGGCATTCCATCTGGCATTCTATCTGGCATATCTTCTGGCATTCTACCTGGCATATCTTCTGGCATATGTTCTGGCATATCTTCTGGCATTCCACCTGGCATATCTTCTGGCATACCTTCTGGAATTCTATCTGGCATATCTTCTAACATTATATCTGGCATATCTTCTGGCACTCTATCTGGCATATCTTATGGCATTTTATCTGGCATATCTTCTGGCATTCTATCTGACATTCTATCTGGCATATCTGCTGGCATTATTGGCATTCTATCTGGCATATCTTCTGGCATATTTTCTGACATCCTATCTGGCCGTTGAGGTCCAGCGGTGCGCACTGAGCTGGGAAGGTCCCAGGTTGAGGTCCAGCGGTGCGCACTGAGCTGGGAAGGTCCCAGGTTGAGGTCCAGCAGTGCGCACTGAGCTGGGAAGGTCCCAGGTTGAGGTCCAGCAGTGCGCACTGAGCTCGGAAGTTGGCGAAGAGCTTGGCGAAGAGTTGGCAAGGCGGAAGTGGAGGTGGAAGTTGATGCAGACATGGTCGAGGAGAAACTGGAGGAGGAGGCGGAGGAGGAGGAGGAGGACAACAGCTCTGATAAAATCTAACAACCCTCACCTGGCAGGTGGGGAAAAACATATATAAAAGCCGCAGCCATGGTTAACCAGAACCCCCAGTGGCGAACCCGACGCCGTCAGGGCACACGTCGCCATTGGGCTTGATTCGTGCAGGCAACGAGGAGCTCAAGTTGCCGCCACTACTGCCAGCACCCAGATGCATAGTGGTTGCCCTGGAGGTCGCAACCAATGGTGGGCCCCCAGGGGACATGGTCTAAAACCATGGGAAACAATGGGGAAAAAGTTGAAAAAACAATTGGAGGGAATCAACAACATAAACCAGCTATGACTGAGGGTACGAAGTTTGGGTACCAAGCTTTTGACTCATAGCCCATAGCTATGTGATTTTTACAGCAAACATGGAGATTTGTTCGCGCGATGTAGTGGATTTATGAACATGAGACTATGGGATATAGTAGGGTCTAACCATGAAAAAACTGGGATAATGATGGATAATATAGGGATATTGTAGGATATGATATATATATATATATATATCTGTGTGTGTGTATGTATGTATGTATGTATGTATGTATATATATATATATATGTGTGTATATAGGGTAATAGACAATGATATACCTACAAGGTGAGGCTAGCATTTACGATAGCTAAGTTGGCGAACTTGTTGAACTGTTGGGTTGACTATGGGGATATAACTTAACATAACAAGTAATGGGGTACAAGAACTAAAAAAGCTTTGAGGCCTCAACGGTGATGTAACCTGCCAAAATTTGGGGGTTACGCTATTACTCTCTGGTTATTTAACATAGCCATGGACAATCCCTTATAAATGGAGGTTTTAATGGGAATCATCTATAAATGGGCCATTTTCCATGGCTATGTTAAATAACCAGAGGGTAAGAGTTGTTCTTTTGTGTCGACTGATTCTTGTATGGTGATTTCACCAAGAAAACGTGGTGCAAGAAGACGATTTCTGTCTTTTTGTCCAAGGAGATTCTGGATGAAATTCTTCGGAATAGGAGTTGGGATGTAGGCCATTAGGTCATAAGGAGTGGGGAATTCACTGACAACTTTACCCTCCTCTGGTTATTTAACATAGCCATGGAAACTGTCCCATTTATATATGATTTTCCCATTAAAACCTCTCTCCATGAAGTGTTGAGGCATCGTTCGCATGGGGAAATCTTCGCCGTGATGACAGCATGTTGTGATGTTCGCCAAATGTTGCCTTCTCAGTTTGGGGATGAACATGTGGCACCAAAAACATCCAAAAACCTGGTTTTGTATATGTTAAAAGCACAACTGGTTGGTGGTTTCAACATGTTGACCTACCCCTCTGAAACATATGAGTTCGTCAGTTGGGATGATGACATTCCCAAAATATGGAAAATAAAAGTCATGTTCAAAACCACCAACCAGACAACATCACCAAACACAGGTCATCCATGGGGTGACCCAAAATCGCCACCCATATCAACTGGGCATCCAAACGAGCGCAGCAAGGGGTTGGACTGGCGGAGCGGAGCGGTGAAAACGTGGCTGGGAACTTCCCAGCTCCCAACATGGGGGTGTTCATGAGAGGATATAGATCACTGGTTGGTGGTTTTAACCATCTTGAAACATATGAGTTCGTCAATGGGAAGGATTATTCCATATATTGTGAAGAAAAAAAATGTTCCAAACCACCAACCAGATCAATGCTGATTTCCCATTGCCACGTCTGACTAGCGAAGGGTATGTATACCTATTGAAGTGGGATATATGACTTCGATCCAGCTATATAACTCAATCCCTACTTGCATATGGCCACGCCATCGATCAAGTGGATAATATAAACAATGTGTTCCCAGTACCCTCCGGTAAACTAACATAGTTCTGGAACATCACCACTTTTAACAGGTACCATCTGGTTATGACTAACATAGCCATGGAAAATTGCCATGCTATTTATGGGTAAACCAGCTATAAATGGGCCATTTTCCATGGCTATGTTAGTCATAACCAGAGGGTAAATCATGATAAACCAACGCGCTAAACGGGCCATGTTCCATCGCTGTAAAACTACTGGAGGCTATGGCCCTCGATTTTTTCATGCTTCAATCCCACTAGACTCGGATGATTTCCCTAACCATGGGTTAAAACGTGGGTTTAAAACCCACTGCTATCTTGAATTACCAGAGGGTAAGACTGTAATATCAAGTGCTTCAGCTACTCACCGTTACCCACCTTTTTTAGGGGACGTATCCCAGCTTGCTGTTTGTTCCCGGTGTTGCCAAGAGATTGTAGACAAGTGAGGGAGAAATAAAAACCTTCACTAGCCGCGCTTTGACGTTGTTCATCTTGGATAATCCTGGAATGTACAAGTGGTAGGTGTTCCATTGTGCCACCTCAACCAGAGCACTAAACACCAATCTATGCTGTGGAATTGACTAGTCGGCGTTCAAAATTGCTTTGGGAACTCCAACTTCAACTACCTTAGAACCAAATCAGCAGTGGTTGAGAAATTCTTGAGTCCTTATAATCCTTTCAAATCAACATGTTATATGAATATCGTTGAATACCCCTAAAATTGGGTTTCCAGCCCCCCATATCCCCCCATGTTTCCAGAAATCAGACCCCTCCGTCTCCAACATTGACTTACGACGTTGGCCAAGCGAACAAATCCTGGGTCCCCGTTGTTTGCTGTTCCAAACATCTCCCCACGACCTCTGAAATGTGGGGGCCCCAAACGATAGCTAAGTTGGTGAACATAACTCCAATAATCCAATAACTATGGTTTATGATACGCACATAACATCAAATAACTAAATAACTATAGTTAATGGATGTTAATGGGGTTTATAAACCATCAAACATAACTGGGGTTTCCACATTGTGCAACCACACCCAAAACGAGCAACGTAACTGGGCACCTGCACTGCAGCCAAAGCCTTGGCATACTTCCGAGCAGCGAAGTCGATGTCCAACTTCTCCTGGGTTTTGATTTTTGAAACCCGAAACCACTGAGACTTGAAGCAACCAATTTACCCTCTGGTAATTTAACATAGCTATGGAAAATCACAATTTTTAATGGGAAAATCCACTATAAATGGCCATTTTCAATAGCTATGTTAAATTACCAGAGGGTAGATGAGTTGTTCCTCCTATATTAGTCATGGTAAACCCATAGTTTCCTCTTAGTTTTCCCGTAAAAAAAAAAGTTGAATGAACCAATCAGTTTTTTTTGTTTGTTTTATCTTTCCATGGTGGTTTGGGTGGTTGGTGACAGGGCGATGAGAACCAGCCTTCACATTGCTTTTGAACATCTATGCATGCACAACGAATAAACGTCTCAAATCGTCTCATAATAAAAATGGACCCACTCAACGCAGGTATGAATCGAAGTAAAAGTGTGGCACGTCCAAATGTTCCTTCGACACATGGTTTAAAAATACTCATTCCTGGCCAATGTTTATGTTGTTGACATCTTTTGAAACATAATTATTGAATTTCACTGGGTTGGTTGAAGGTTTTTTTTTTACAAGAAACCTGGTTTTTGCCCGATTTTGCCCCCAACATATGAGGTTTTCTGTAAATAATACCTTCAACCTTGGGACTCCAAAACACCACTAGCTTCGCTCATCTTTGTTCACCCAAAGCCGCCAATATTTCCACCTGACCTGACAACCATTGACAACCATCCCTTCCACCACCGCTAAATGCACCATTTTTTGGTGCTGAAATTTCAATATGTATATACAGACCAACACATGTTGCATGACTTTAGTTGAATGACCATTCCCTTTAGTTACTATAGTTTCACGACTTTCGATAATTTCGATAGTGACATCCCATATGTGCAGTGCAAAATCCCATATGCTCACGGTGAAATCATATGTTCAATCCCGCAATTCGAGACTCTTCAGTCCATATATTTGGATGATTCTCGATACTCCAGACCCGGTATAAACTAGTTTCCCTCCGGAAATTTGACATATGATATATATATATATATATATATCCCATAGGATCCATGTATGGGATATATGCTAACATTTGGGGTATATTGATGGTAAATGTTACCATATATGGCATACATGGATCCTATGGGTATATATATAAATATATATCTATATGTATAAACTATGGAAATCGTCATGTGCATCATGTGTAGTAGGATTTTAATAGGAAGTAGGCCATCTATCCTATAGTACAATGTGGGGCCCTCAAACGATAGCTAAGTTGGTTTGTAACTCCAATAACTCGAGGCTGTATGATACTTACTACTTACTATGGTTTATGTTTTTTTTCAACCATCAAACATAACTGGGGGGCCTATCCCATAGCTACAATGTGAGGCCCCCAAGATAGCTAAGTTGGTTTATAACTCCAATAACTATGGTTTATGGTGCTTATAACTGTAGTTACTGGGGCTTATAAACCAACTTATAACTGGGTGGCTATCCCATACCAAAAATAAGCTCCAGAATACCTCCCCAAAAATCCGCTTCCCTCCGGCTCCAAAGGGTCCTCGAACTCGTCTTTGGTGACCTGCCCGGTGTTGTCCGCGTCCATCTCGGCCCAGAGAATCATCCGGTCCGCCTCATTGACCTCACGGTTCACCGAGAATAAAACACACTTTTTGGGAGTGAAAAAGGGGTGATGATCACGTCTCTGTAACTTATCACACTAAAACAAGTGCTGTGTATAATATATATATATATGTGTGTGTGTGTTAAACTTGTTTAATTAAGTCATCAATCATTGAATAATAGTGTTTATTACTCTAAATGTGGTATAGTATCATTAAACCACTATGAACCTTGGGATTAACAGTGATAATATCAAACTCATGAGTGACATATAATTAGTGATGTAATATCAGACTAATAGTGACATTATAAGGGATATAATATAGTAACGATATTCTCAAGGATAGGACAGGGAGTTCATCATTAATCATCAAACCATCTGGGACTCAACCAGCAATGATGATAATAGCAATTCAATAGTCATGTAATATATATATATATATACTACATATTATGTATATAACATTATAGTAATATAACCAATCATTGAATGGTGACAAATATGATGAAACCACTATCAAACTAATGGTGATTTTTTTCAGCACAGGACTATGCGGCTATGGCATCACATCGCCTGCCGGCTATGATTTTGGGCCTTGGGCGAGTTTTGGGATTTCATTGATGTCAAAGCCTGGGGCTCCACATGATTTGACTAAAAAAACTTCTGTTCAAAGCCAGGAGCAATTGGATTGAACATGCTTGAACTGATTTAACCATCAAATATGAACGTTGAACTACATATTATTGGAATAATTTGGAATCGGGATATACTGGGGATGAAATAATCACACAATCATCGAGATAGAGATACAACGGGCAAGAATAGGCCAGTTTAGGATAGAAACTGCTGGGAGATGGATCAAGAAAAAATAGTTTCGGCTTCAAATTTCAATGCAGAAATGAGATGAAAGCAACATTGAAGCCAATATGAAAATGGTTGACATGAGCTTCAACCTCCAGCCCTCCTTTTTTCTCTCCTGTCTCTCTTTTGCGGAGTCTGGCACCTCCATTCCCCTCGATCCGGGAATTTTTGATCAGCTTACCAGGAGGGCCGACCAAAAGAGACTCGCCAATGGCAGTGTCCCGAAGGACAGCACGCCGTAGCCAGTCATAAAACTTGCACTGAATTCTTTACCGCCTTTGAATTCCTGAAATTCACTTGATGCATCCTGGAAATCCTTGCTACTTGTGTTCTTGTGCATGTTTTCCTTGGAAAAAGGTCGCGCGTGTTTGACTAAGCAGAAATCATCCATCAAATAACAAATATGTTTTTTGTTTGACTTCATAAGGCCCCAAATTGTTGGAATGGCACAGAAAAAATCAACAAACTCACATCTGCTGTAGAAGGCAAGCACATGAAAACACCCAACCAGAAAAAAAATCACAGGAAATCAGGGCCCAGTAACACTTGGAATCTCCAAGCTCCTCACAAACTTGGGATTTGCCTTGAGGAACTTGCAGGCCACGTCTCGCCAAGTTGCATTGGTCCTGTGCGCGTCTTAACGTGATCGAAATGAAACCACAGGAGATACCTTCAGAGTTAACAGTTATGGTGGGCAACTTGCTGAAGCATTGATGCCTGAAGAGCTATTTAATCCCAACTGGTAACTGGGAGAGAGAGAGATATATATATATATAATTATATATATATATATATTTTTTATGTGTGTGTATGTGCATGCATGAATGTATGGGATTGTCCTTTCTCAAATCACAATGCCGCCCACCAGCCGAAAGCAGCACTAAAAAAAACACCTTGAAGCGCTAGAAACACCCTCGCAACATGGTTCGATTCTTGTGGCCCAAGACACGTCCACCCCAAACATCCCGGCGGGTTGTTTGTCGAACCCACGTTTCAATAGGTCGTGTTTCTGACATTTTCTTTCGTCCCACAAAAACCATCATTTTTTGACTGTTTCATGTGAAGGCGTCAGAGCTCTTTCTAGAAATGTTAGGCGCCCATGTTTACTTAATTTCTGTCGAAACCACAGCGGTGGCCACTTTCTTCCTTCATTTTTTCTTCACTGTTTTTTTCTTTACTCTTTGTTCTTCACAGGTGCTTGATTCCTTCTGTTTGCGTAGCATGTAGGAATGTATGGACCTGTATGGAAGTGCAAGAGAGCTTGCAGCAGCCTAGCATGACGTATGTATGAAAGTGCAAGAGAAGGAAGTGAAAGAGAACTTGCTGCAGCGTCGCATGACGTATATATGAAAGTGCAGGAGAACTTGCAACAGCGTAGCATGTACGTTATTACCCCACCCCACCCCACTATATATATATATATCATATGAAGACTTCAAAAAAGCCTACAAAACGCTGGTTCGGTTTTCAACCCGTAGGCCCGAACACCCAATGGCTCGATTATCTGAGTTATATAATACATCTGATTGGTGGTGTTGGCCCCTCCAAAACATATTGGTCATTGAGGATAATGTTGGCGTCTGATTAGTGTGAGCCCCCCCCCAAACAATTTTAGTCTACTGAATAATTGTCAGTTTGAATTATCTACAATATCACTTCACATATTGTATGTGTATATTTGAAAAATCTAATATAATAACAACATAATGTAATATATAATCATATAATATAACATAATATAATACAACTTGAGGCCGGGGGTGGATGACGAAAGCTAGCGGGGTAGGAGAAAGAAGGAAGGGAAGACGTATCTTCAATGCCAGTGGGATGATGATGAGGAGGAGGATGATCAGGATGAGGAAAAGAACATGATGATGCTGATGCTGATGCTGATGCTGATGGTGATGATGATGATGATGATGCTCATGATGATGATGATGGTGATGATGATGATGATGATGATACTGATGATGATGATGATGAAGATGAAGATGAAGATGAAGATGAGGATGATGATGATGATGATGATGCTCATGATGATGATGATGATGGTGATGATGATGATGATGACGATGATGATGATGATGCTGATGATGATGATGATGATGATGATGAGGCTGCGGCAGCTGATCGGGATGATGATGAGGACGAGGGTGCTAAGGATGTGGAGATGATGATGATGATGGTGATGATGATGATGGTGATGATGATGATGGTGATGATGATGATGATGATGATGCTGATGATGATGATGATGGTGATGGTGATGGTGATGGTGGTGGGGTGTGGGGTGGGGTGGGGGGGGGCCCTTTCACGTGAAAAATCACGTGATGTCCTTGAGCAGCCCCCTGAATACTTGCTAAAGCAAGAAGACTCCAGCTAGCTGACGCTAGCTTTCGTGATAAGATAGAATACGATATGGTAAATATGTAATACTGCCATGGAATATATATATATATATACCCAGACCTTACCACGTTGAAGTTAAACTTACAATTTAAACAAATATTAAGTTAAACTTAGCATTTGCGTTAAATACTAAGTTTACCCATGAAATACTAAGTTTAACCATGGTCTTGTTTTTGGTCGGCAACTGTGTCTCCTGGGCTCTGGGATTGTTGCTGTGGGTCGAATTACTGTGCAGGATCGGTCAAAGCTTTCGGATCAAAAAACAACAAAAGAAATCGAGTTTCTTGGGTGCCGGCTGAGGCAGAGCGCCGCAGCAAACCGAGTTCTTCACGGGTAAACTTTGCATCTCACGGGGTATTGCACGTAACTTCACGGGCACTTCACGCGAACATCTTTCGGGGGCACCTCTGTGTGTGTTTCTGTTTGTGTGTGTGTGTCCCATTTCTTGGAAAGTTGTTGATTCTCAGCATCAGGGACCGGCATGGTCCGCCGACACCGTCGTAGCTGTTAGAACAAAATGTTACGCTTCACTTATCCAACTGTGGTCATAGATATATGTAATGTATTGTGATGTAATTAGGATTAATTGTGCACCTTCTCAACCAGTTTTTCAAAGAAGTTCTTGTCATGTCACTTATTTGTCAAGTCATTGGTTTGAGGGTTTTCGGGAGCATGACACCACCACTGTACCTCTATCCTCCAAGTTTTTCTCCATCCTCCAGGTACATCTCCGTGTTTTAGCGCTGAAAAAATCTTTCGATCTATTGTTTAATCACCAAAAGAAACTGAACCAATCCGTGTCCCCCATATTTTCGATAGCTTCACAAAAGTTGAAGGTCAATATATGTTCCCCCAAAAAATGAGATGTTGATGAAATTGATGACAGATGTTTCAGGTCTTTCACGTCTTGGTGCTTTCCGAAACCCTGCGGGAACTGTCCTGTTCTGTTCCCTCAACAGGCGGCCCATCATCTTCGCGTCCAGTTGGATCGAGGCAACCAGGCGCGACAGCGCCGGGGCCAAGATGGGAAGATCGTGACCTGGTCGCTGCGGCTTCGATGCTGAAGGGCCCGCCGGGAACTTTCGCCAGGAAAACATGTGGAAAAATGGGAAACCAATTGGGAGATACCCTCTGGTAAACTAACATAACTATGGAAAATCACCATTTTTAATGGGTAAATCCACTATAAATGGCAATTTTCAATAGCTACGTTAAATTACCAGAGGGTAACCTTGGATAATTCAGAACAAAACCAATGATACGCCAATGTCAACAGGTAAGTTGCTGATTTGACCCTGTCCAAACGGGTGCCTACAAAGCGCCCCGGATAATGGGGGGGAACCAAAAAAGGCACCCCTTAACCTTTAAGGTCCCAAACGGATAATATTTGTACATGTTTATGCCTACGGCAGGAAAACCGTACGTGCGTTTTGCTTCTTTTTTGAGTATTGCTCTTTGTCTTGGGGTTGGGGTGGGGTGGGGGGGCATGTTAACGTTCCTTGTACTTCGTACATGATATATTGCCATGTTGCTAAGATCTCTGGGATCTTTTACTACGTTACGTGTTGCTACGCTGCTGAGATCTCTAGTGTGGGTTGGGGTGGGGGGGCATGTTAACGTTCCTCGTACTTCGTACAGGATATATTGCCATGTTAGTGTGGGTTGGGGTTGGGGTGGGGTGGGGTGGGGGGCATGTTAACGTTCCTTGTACTTCGTACAGGATATATTGCGATGTTGCTAAGATCTCTGGGATCTTTTACTACGTTACATGTTGCTACGCTGCTGGTATCTCTGAGATAGTTTCCTACGTTACATGTTGCTACGCCGCTGGTATCTCTGAGATAGTTTCCTACGTTACATGTTGCTACGCTGCTGGTATCTCTGAGATAGTTTCCTACGTTACATGTTGCTACGCTGCTGAGATCTCTGGGATCTTTTACTACGTGACATGTTGCTACGCTGCTGAGATCTCTGGGATCGTTTACTACGTTACATGTTGCTACGCTGCTGAGATCTCTGGGATCTTTTACTACGTTACAGGTTGCTACGCTGCTGTGATCTCTGTGATCGTTTACTACGTTACACGTTGCTACGCGGTTCGTATCTCTGAGATAGTTTCCTACGTTACATGTTGCTACGCTGCTGAGATCCTTGGGACTTTCTTACTACGTTACAGGTTGCTACGCTGCTGAGATCCCTGGGATCTTTTACTACGTTACAGGTTGCTACGCTGCTGAGATCCTTGGGATCGTTTACTACGTGACATGTTGCTACGCTGCTGAGATCTCTGGGATCTTTTACTACGTTACAGGTTGCTACGCTGCTGAGATCTCTGTGATCGTTTACTACTTTACAGGTTGCTACGCGGTTCGTATCTCCGAGATCGTTTACTAAGGTACAACGTCTGATGCACATGATGTTTACCTGGATTTGTTAAAAATCAATAGATTTTGCATCCACTTTTTTTAACCCAAATTCAGTTATCCAAACTGATCGGAAGAGCATTTTATATTGTAAATTACAGGTGATTGTGACTCTCCTGGAAGCAACCAATCAAAACGCTCGCGCGGTTTCCCTTCCGCCGGGTTTATTATCATGATTTCACCACATTTGCCTCTAGGTGTGACTTTTTTCCAAGCAATACAAGGAGTCTTGTTGACAACATGAAAGTAGGGGGTGTCTATATAGCACCCCTTAGCCAAACGGGTGCCTAATAAGCATCCCTTAGGGTGCTTTTGGGACACCACCTATGCGTCTCACACCTTACTTTCGGATACTTTCGGAGACATGGGACATTTTTTTCGGCTCGGGGCCGGGGCCTTATCAATACACGAAAGTTGACATTCAATTCAGACAAGCATTTCCTACCCAAAGGCTCATGTCGGAGATGGAACCCTCAAAACCATCCGGGCCCTAGGGGATAACACGTTGAGGGACCTTGAGGGACCTTGAGGGACTACGGTGTTTTGGGACCTTCAAAACCATGAAACATTTAGGGATGTTGGTTAGTCGCAGCCACTTTTTTTCAACCGTGGCTGCGCAGTGCTGCGCACCATGTGCACACATGCCCGGGCTCCAAGGACAACAGGGTGTCAATCCAGTTTGGCCAACTCAAGGTTCACAAGAGCCAGATAACGTTCCAGCGTACGTAGGGACACATTCCCCTTGTGAGTGGCTCGGGCGATCTTGCCCACTCTGCACACAATGTCTTCAGCTGCCAAAAGTTGGCTGATACGCGGATTGATCCGCTCGATCCTCACCGTTTTGCAATGATGATAGTAGTGGTGATGTTTGCAAATCATCAGCCACAAAGTGCGGTTGGCCTGTTTTCCCCGGGCCATCCGGCTTTTGCTGTTCAAGGCTGCATAGGTCTGCAAATGTCGAATCACATCCTGGTAGTAGCTTTCCGCTTGCTCTTCACTCAGAACCAATCCTGAGGTATCCATGTTTTTCAAAGAACTTGCGTAGGAATGAAGGCAGGTTGCAACCAAACGATCCAATTCTGTAGCTTCTGGTCGGGCAGCATGTTCAACACAGCAATGAGCAACCCAGAAAGTCACCACCTTGCTAGGGATACCCTTTGAACTCAAAACCGGGTATTACATCCTTGTTTTCCTTCCCAATCTCGCCGGTGTGAACCGTGGTTGAGACGCTTGCAGTCCATGTTGTTTCTTCCAACGCAAGAAATGTAGATGCGCCTGTCGCAACACCAATGCCAAAGAATCACTGTAGAGGCCTCGTGGGAAAGCTCCCCAGTACCCCACCTCAGCCAGATAAACGATGGCACTGGCATTGGCAGTCTTCCCGGTGCCGAGAAGTTGTGAATGCAAGCAGTCATGCAACACTCTGTCCAAAGGGATGCCGAGTGAGAACACAATCGAACCTCTTTCATGAAATTCGCTCAAATCTGGCAGGCTTGAAGCATGATCGGCATTTTCACGAAAATCTCCAAGCGTCATGCTCAGATTCCCATCGTTGGCCTTCTTCTTGACACCACACAATGAGCAGCACAAATTTGATCTGTAGTTGTGCAGCCCGTAATGCTCAACAATGAACTTAAGGTCTCCTTGAAGAGACGACAGCATGAAGGCGTAGCCGCCATCTGACCAGTCAAAAAGCATTGTGGGGTCCACCATGTCTCGCGTCCTGGCAACCACATGACCCATAATGTCATCATAAGTGAACTCAGTGGCTGCATACTCAGGATACACGGCGATGGGGAAATATCTTGTCAGTGAAGGATTCTGATATCCCAAGTCGCTGCACCACCCAAGCACTGTCACTGACCCTGTCTCTGAACCCTTGTAAGCAGCGATGTCATCACCGTAGAAACTCATTGGGATCAGCTTCCTGGGCAAAGGGTAATTGTGATATTGGCTTCCTTTGAACCAATCACACGTTTCCTTGCAATGACTCCAAAAAGATTCAACTTCTTCCGGACTATGGTTGCCGAACATAGTGTGATGCCAAACTGACGAACCTTTGGCAAACAAAGCCTTTGCCATGTCATCCGGGAAAATCACAGAAATTGGCTGCCATTCGATTGATGATGTATGAGAATACAACCGGGCTTGAACAGTATTGATCTTCACACCCAGTCGTCTTGCGAGTGACCGTAGAAGAAAATGAAAATCACGCTCACAATTCTTGGCATGCTTGCCGCTGGATCCAAGTGAGGATATCCGGTTCACTAGATCATCTTTCTCCACCACGCCACCCTTCTGTTCACACCATTGGACAGCTGAAGATGCCAAATGTTGGACCTGAGTCATGCAACCAGTTTTCGAGAGAAAAAAACAATGTAACTCCACCCTGGCCCCAATGAGCACTAACAGGAATGGTCCCTCGTATGCTGGAACGGATAGAAATGGGTAAAACCTTGAAACATACCTTGATATTAAAAGAAGTTTGTCCAAATCAAACGGTGGAAATTGGTAAGCCGACAGGTTCTTGCTGGCATAGTGTGGGTGAAATCAACATATTTAAGTTTCCTCCCCAAAAAAATGTATATGGGAATCGTCTTGCTGAATGATGAGTTCAAATTCGAGTTGGCTTGGGTTTGTATTTTGTCAGATGGGACGTTCGAAAGTGTCATATACCACAAACTGGTTGATCTCGAAAAAACACTTTTGGGGTATCCTAGTTCAAGTAACCCATTGGCATCTACTTTCGGATTTAATTCAAATTCCAAGTCCCGGGGGTACACTAGATAGATAATGTCAACCCTAGGCCCTATAGGATTAATAAACTCCCAATTCTCAATATAATATTGGATGGTACCCCACATAAATAAACATATAGTTTATTGATCTGACTTGTGAGGTCCAAATCCTTTACATGTAGATTGCAAAACCAAGAAACCCTGGTTGCGCTAGATTTGCCTGATGCAAAATCTCCAATCAGTAAATTCTGAAGTTCCTCCGGCTGTTTGGGACGGGTGCCCCTTTCCTTCGCCGCCAAAATATGGGGCGGCTCGTAAGGGGTTAATCGAGGCTGCTTCCATGGCCGCCCCTGCGACGTCGATGGATGCAAGGCTGCGGAAGAGAACCTGGTTTGAAAATGGTGGGTATTGGAATTAATTAATCACGATGTTTTTTCGCATTAGTTGGTTGATTAATAGAGGGGTTGGTTTACCCCTTTAACAACAGGTAAATGATGATAGATGGTATACCAAACTGGCCCCTCTATATATCCTATAGGATCCATGTATGGTATTTTATGCTAACATTTGGGATATATTGATGGTAAATGTTACCATATATAGCATACATGGATCCTATGGGTATGAACATTATATTGCAAATGCCGTTCCTAGTTTAAACTTACATTTCCAGTGGAGGCTGCTGAGTCCTTGTCACCATCTTTACTTGAAGCCGCAGCAAGTTCACGTCTGCGAAACAATCCTGGAGGTTGCAATCTGACGGAAACATATTCTTTGGGAATATCGAAATGCATTTTCTTTGCATGAGTCATGTAAACGCTCAGGGTTGCAAAATCACAGATTGTCGCAATGCAGAGATTTCGTTTTGATCTCGGAAATTGACGAATCTCACTCCATGTCTCCATGTCTTGTCAGCCAGCAATGATTTGCTAGCACACCCATTGCCAAACTAGCTTGTTTTCAAGCTATGGCGTACACCCCATGAAATTAGATTAGGCGACAAGTTTTGAAAAGAAAACTGGCCACATCGCTAACCATCTAGCGGAACTGAGCCATCATCTAAATATGACGGCCAAGAAAGTCACTTCACTTCTCCGCTCGGGAGGTCTTCGCAGTCTTGTCCTGGCCAAACTGCTGGAGACCCAGCTGGCAGAGGATGGAAAGTGGAGGTTGTGTGGATCATGATGAGTCCCATGGTACCATCATTGGAATTCCTCAACTATATAGTGAACCATTATTTAGAATTTAGCTACGGCTACTTTCCCAAGAATCCCCTGGTTTATGGAATCACCTGGTTTGGGATAGGGGGTTGCCGACCACCAATCTATGAACTTCGGACCCTTGAGTCTAGATCATTTTTTGGGCAAATTTGGCAACCAGTTGGATCATAATTATATTCAGGGTAGGGCCTAAAGAAATGCATTTATGACACTTCCCCCAAATTAGATTGTTGGATTGCATCCGTATGGTTAAAACTTGGGCCCACAATAGTGTTGAAACATTGGGGTTGTTTGTATGTAATGTTTTACATGGGTCCTTCGACGACACCTTGGTGGATGCTTTGACCAAAGTGTTGGCCTCAACCGCATCTTCCTCATAAAGGGTCATTCTCTGAATTGCAAGCTCACAAGCAGCCTGCAATGCCCCCACATCAGCCGGGTCAATCTCCTGGCACAGAGTTTAGATGGGTTTAGGAGTGGTCACCCCCATATTGCCGTTATTTTATTTTGTATATCTTGTTTATATATAGGGTTAAAACATATTGTATAATTTCTATATATATATTACAAATCCATCAGATTGAATGCATAGCAATTCTACAATGAAAACTTCAACAACACTGGTTCATCCCAAATGGAACAGATTCATGTAACCATTCCGTAATGAAATCCGAAATTGAACATTTCAATATAACCAGACCAATGAAATCTCAAAGGGATCAGGTCATTAGTTTCCACAAGGGCAAAAAGGTGTCATGGAATTCCTTGTTCGCGGTCTGGCGCGCAAGCTGGTGAAAGCTGCGTTCCAGCTCATCTGCATGGCCCTGGAAACTCTTACCTCGTTAGGCCAGGATGTGAATGTAGTGTGGCATATGGTTCGTATTTTTTTGAGGGCCCCAAGTGATTTGCCTACATGTCCCATCAAAGTCAACCAACCAGTGTTTGGCATAAACTGTGTCCCCGAAGGCCCATGGCTGAAATACTGACACGGGGAACCCAAAATAGATGTGTAATGAAGAACTCTTTATCTTGTACGATTTGGCCCAAATGGGAAAATCATGGGTCAAGTTGCACAAGGATTCCTGGTGCTTCAAATGCGCCAAGCGCACTGGCCACATGCGAGCTGATTGAAGATCAGCACTTAACCGGTTGAGTATCCAAAGAGCCTTTGGACGTGGCTCCTCGGGCATCTCATTCCTCAGTTACAAAATGATGAAAACACATGGGCCACATGGATGTTCTTATTGAATAAAACATGCAACGTACAGAATAGATCCATTGGTCATCTTTGGGATTATCCCCTCTTTTAGCACTGGATGGGTAGTACAAGTGGGATTATATATTAGATACCAGGGGATACAAACATATTGCTGATCTTATATTCAAACCATTTACTGACTTCGGGATCATCCCAGCACCATCCTACGTTTGAGATCCAAATCCTGAATATCAATCATGAATATAACATATATACTCAATAGGGAATGCAATAGTCAATAGGGAATTGTGGCACCGTTTTTTGATTGACATTGTTCATACAATTTGGGCCATTGTTGCAATGGAATTTGGGGTTCAAGATAAAGAAACTGGAGATACCCACTGACCATGCTTATCGATCCAATCACCTCATTCTCCAGGGTTAGTACATCAATATTGTGATTTTGTAATGACGTTAAGAATCTTCTTCCGGGTAGATGTTTCACCACCGGGTCTGGCTTTGGCCTTCGGGGCCTTCTTGGGTGCTGCTGCCTTTGCCTCAGGTGCTGCCGGCGCTCCTGGTGGAACAGCAGGGAGTCCAGCAGCCGAAGATGCCGGGGCACCAAGAGCCGGAGCGCTCTCTTGCTTGGCAAACTGGAGACGGAGGGGCTCGTTCGTCATGCCAGCCCCAAACGAAGTCAACGCATCTGAAGTCGCAAAGCGTTCGGCCTAGCGAGGGCCAAACTATTTGTTTATGCTTACCCAAAATGGTGCATATGATTGTCAATATGTTTTGCAAACCGTTTTTGGGATACTGCCATGCTATAGCATGACAGTATCCCAAAACGACTCCTCCTGAAACACAGCTACTTACCAACCAGGGGTCACTATATAGAACATTTGTTTTTTTTCTAAATGGGGATACTCGTATTATATAACCATAGCATGGTGTTCAGCAAGGTTGGCCGAACTATTTTCCACAATGGGGTCAATAAAGTGAGGCGCCTGCTCTCCATGGGTTTCCCCACCAACTTCCATAGATACCCGATCTTCGTGTTCATCTTCGGCAACTGACTCCAAGTCAACCAAGACGTAAAACATCATAGCATTGATGTCACCTGGCGCGTCTGGGTGTTCTTTGAACTCCTGGTTCCGGGTTTTTTGATCGATGATTTTCTCCACGATCGATGCATCGCCATGCATAGCAAGCAACTGTGCCCTCGTTTTCCATCCTAGGCAAAACAGTATATGTGCCCCAAACATGAGATTTGTCAAACTCCTATGATTCAGGAATATCCCCATTGCGTTGTGATGCCATATGCATACGGCACTAACATTCCTACAATCTTAAGGTGTGTCATGTTTTCCCACCACCTGAGGTTGAGTCCATACTTTGTGCGTCCAATGCTGCGATCTGTGCGGGTCCTTGAGCATTTCAGGGACAGCCTCGGTGTCAATGTGGGCTGCAACTAAGGCATTTAATGTTTATCTTGATTTTGCGTTATAGGTCAATTAGAAATGATGGTATTCATTTTCTGATGACTGTCACCTAAACCATTTCCCATCTTGGTTCAACCAAGTAACTTAGACCAGTCCTTTCCTGCCCGGAGAAAGGCTAGAAAAACAGCATTTTTTCCCGCACGGGAGCGGGTCTTGATTGCCTGGTGCCATGACTCCACGATCTCATTGGGTATGTCGAAGCTATCGCTCGCCTCCAATTGCCTGATGTTCCAAGCAATACCCAAACAAGGAACCGTATAGAAGGCGAATGCGATCAAATATGTGTGTTCAAAATTTATGTACGGCATTCATGCCTTACGACATGGGGATAGGGCTATCCAAAAAAAATGACCAGGCCTTTTCATTTGAGCGTAGTGGGCTTGACGTTCCTTGTAACTTCCAAAGGTTACCTCCACACTTTCCTCAGAAGCAATGGGACACATATAATATGTTTTTATGTCTGAATGGGTGATCTCCAAACATTGGTTGAAATTTTCCGTGCATGTTGGAATATACATATTTGGAATTTGGAATACTTATATTTTGAACTTGATCAAAAACATTGCCACTGAGAAACAGGGGCATGGACTTGAATCTGACCCGCGAGCGTTCCAGCTGGTACCATGGAAGTTGTGTGAACTGTGCTGGTGGAGGCAGGTGTTGCTGGAGGTGCAGGGGTAGGCAGTGAAGGTGGTGATTTGGTGGCAGGTGCTGTCGGTGTGGGAGTTGGTGGTGTTGGTGGAGCTGCTGGTGCGAGTGCTGCTGCTGGCGCTGTAGGTGGTGTCAACGCTGCTGCTGCGGTAGCCCCCAAACTCTGCGGCGGTGTCGGTGGGCTGGTTGCCTCTGGGACAGGTGGGGACACCGGGGGAGGTGAATGCATTGCTGGAGGCTTCAAAGGAGCAGAGTATACTGTGACTTCCTCTGCAAAAGACACACGCTTGGGATTGGGCATTGGGGCTGCTTTGGGATCTGCCACTGCAAGTGCTGCGGTAGCTGCTCTGGGATCTGCCACGGCAAGTGCTGCGGTTTCCCTGGGATTGGGATCAGGCAAAGCTGTGTCAGGGCTGGGCTTCAAGGCCTCATTTTCTGACCATAGCATAAAAGACACCAGCTCCTCATCTTCATCAGAAGTTCCAAACTCAGGAAGTTCTTCATCATCCTCTAGGGCGAAAATCTCCTTACGGAGATATTGTTCAAACTGGGCAAAGACAGGGTCGTTCTTGATCTTATCGATCTTCTGTTTGACCTCAAGGTCGTCCATTTTTTGGACCCAGTTTCGAATTCGTTCTTCCCTCTGAGCTTCATCCTCTACCTCTTTCTCCTGTGCTGGGCTGGTCACTGGAGGTGCAGGCATGGCAGCCTTTGCCAGGGGCTCGGGACGGGCAGTGGCAGGGCTCGGGGCAACAGGTGTGTGAGGTGTCGGGGGCGTCGCTTTTGTCTCATGTCTACACAAAGAGGCAACTTTGGGCTGTGCAGGAGTTTCGGCTGAAATCACCGTGCTGGGCGCTTTGGGAGGCACAGTAGATTCTTCAGCCAACTCCACCTTTGTGGTTGGTCGGGGTTTTTGTCTTCTCAACGCTGCTGCTGCATTCTGTGTTGGCTTGACTTCCATCTTCACACCAGTTTTTGGGATTGCTGCAGGAGTCGCCACATAGGCTCGCTGAACTGCTGCTGCTGCTGCTGGTTTTGGTGGTGGCGGTGCCACTGCTACAGCTGGAGGCATGGGCGGGGTAAGGCATCCTGGAGCCTTGGTTTGAGGTGTGGCTGGAGGTCTCCCCATGACCGCACCCTTCACTGCGCATGCTTTGCTGTGGATTACCTCGGTCTTGGCTTTCTTCATGACAGGTGGCACCATTGGCACCATGCTAGGTGGCATTGGCGGGGCTGCTGTGCTTTTTGCTTTTTTGTTGGCCGTGGGCATCACGGGCTGGGTGTCTGCACAAGCTTTTGGCGGGACAGGGTGGGCGACAGGGTGGGCGACAGGGCTTGCTTTCTTGGCAGGGCTAGGTGAAGCAGCAGGGGATGCAGTGCTGGGAGTTGGCTCGGCACTGATGGGGGACACCGACCTAGGCAAAAGTAACATGAGAGTGTGTGTTTGATTTATTTTGGACAATGTTATACACAAATAAGGTCAATAGTCAATAAGTATTGTATATGATGACAAGACGCTCGGTCAGCTTCATCCCAGGGTCATCATGGGGCGAGAAGTCCAAGTTTTTCGGCCACATAATATCTGACACCTGCACCCCAAATAAAAACAATAGGCTATCAAGACGGGGTTGTGGCTCAGGTTCAAAACATTTCTGGTATCGAAGAATGGAAAAGCCATGCCTGGGACTCAGAACATGGGACCGTTGTCGCCTGGGAATCTTCCTGCAGGCTATTCAACAATTTGTGTCATATATGTAGCACCACTTAATTCCCTTAATATAAGGAACAGATACTGTTATAACCCATATAACACAAATAATTTGATGGGTTGGCCATGAGCTCCAACAGTCCTCCACTGGGCTGAAAGCCGGTGATGCCATCGAACGGGTGGGCGGTGGCGTTCTGAACGCCTCGCCGGAGTAGCCATAAAATTATTTTTCATTTGGTGGCAACATTTTTGCAAACCATTTGTATAATTAAACCTGCCTCATTCGCCCCAGGGTACTTGTCAAAGAAGGCTTTCTTTGTTGCCATACCGCACGGGCTAAATCTAACCCCGGATACGTCCTGGGAACAACATGAACAACCACCCCGAATCCAAAAAATATTTTGAAATGGGAAACCAAATGGAACACACTGACAGTTGTGAATGTGCATCCTGTCCTCCATCCTTGTATCCACAGGCTTCACCATGGTGAACCCCCCCAGAGAGTCGAGCAAAGTGATGCGGCTAGGGACTGAGGGATTAGGTCACCATGGCATATGTTTATCCCCAAATGTTAGCTGACGTTATCTGACGGTGGATTTTGGTATGTTTTTATCAACAAAAATTATCTGACGCTGTCTGACGGCGGATAAAATATTTTTTTTACCAAAAAGCTATCCGACGCTATCCGACGCTATCTGACGGTGGGTCCCTCGTGAATGAATTCGTTTGAGGGCCCGCGAGGGACCAAACCGACGCTATCTGACGCTATCTGACGCGCCCTCCCCGATCCCAAAATATTAATCGATATCCGACGCTATCCCACACGCCCCCCACCCCCAACCCCAAAATATAAATCGCGATATCCGACGCTATCCCACGCGCACCCCACCCCCAAAAAGCATCTAGATCGCGGAAACAAAAGATATTTTTTCAATCATGCGACCTTCCTTGAAAACGGTTGAACATTGTATCCGCCAGATAGCGTCAGATAGTGACCAACATTATCTGATGTTCTCGAAGTGCCCCAATCAAACATGTCATTTGAGAATCACCTGCCAGGTAAATTGCCTCAAGATGGGCTCCTGGTTCACGAACAAGGCTTGGATACCATTGTTGGTTTATGCCTGATTATCA